GTGGGTTGGTGTTCCGACACGGAGGCGATGATGGGGATGTACCTGGGGGGGGGGGGGCGTTAGTGGCTGATGGTTGTTTTGGTGGTGGTGGCATTGATGGTGGTGGTGTTGGTGGCGGGGTTTTGTTGCGGTCATGCGTGGGTGTTGGTGGTGGAGATGATAGTGTAGTTGGTGGTTGTGTCGGTATTTTTGTTACTGTCGTTGTCGTTGTTGTCGTTACTGTCGTTGTCGTTGTTGTCGTTACTGTCGTTGTCGTTGTTGTCGTTGTTGTTTTGTGTTCGTTACCGTTGACTCAACTGCTGTTGTGATGTTGAGGCTGTGGCTAATGCTCTTCCTGCATCAACGCTGTCCACTAAATCTATCTTGCAACCGACGTTGTCGCGGACGCGGGCACACCCAAAACAATTGGTGCGAACAAGAGCGAGCAAGATCACGAGCCGAAAGAAAATGCAGAAATACAAGGAGGCGTGTGTGCGAGAGGACAAAAACAGGGCACCTCTGTAAGAGACAGCCCGCTGGAGGCTGTCCAAACGACACAGCAAAATCACAGCGCACACATCAGACAAGCAGCAGCACAACAAAAGCGCAGCAGCAAACACGCCCCCCCGATTGGAAAGCCTCCCTCCCTCCCTCCCTCCGAGGTTAATGGTCTAACGACTACGGCATGCACGACAACGAGTACCCCCCCCCCTCCCCCTTCCCTCCCCCTCACTTTGAGGCGTAGGTGGGGTCGAGCAGAGTCAGCGAGCGCCCGGTCCACTGCACGAGCCCCAGCAGCTGCGCCGCCACGAGCACGGCCGCCACTCCCGACACCAGGGTCACCGCCGCGGCAAGGAAGGCGCGCTGCAGAACCTTGGCGTCGATCACGCTGAAGAGGTAGTGCCCCACGGCGTACCCCTGGGCCAAATGACAAAGGGGGGGGGGGGGGGGGGGGGGGGGGCGGGGAGGCCCCCCTTGAGGGGGGGCCCCCGGGCCCCAAAGGGGGGGGGGGGGGGGGGAAAACAAGGGGGGGGGGGGCCCGGGGGGGGGGGCCTCCCCCCCCCACAAAAACGGGGGGACCACCCCCGGGGGGAGGGCCCCAACAAAAAAAAAAAAACCCCCCCGGGACCCGAAAAAACCCCCCGGGGGGGCCCGGCTTCCCCCCCCCTTTACCCCCTTAAAACCCCCAAAGGGAACCTTTTTTTTTTTTTTTTTTTTTTTCCCCCCAACCGGGGGGCCTCGCCTGGGGTACAAAAAAAAACCCCCCGGGCCCCTTTTTAAACCCCCCCTTTTTTATTTTTTTTT